TGAGAATAGCTATTCCTGCTTGTTTTTAATTTCCATTTGCATGGAATATCTTTAACCATGTTTTACCTTTCAGTCTGTGTGCATCTTATAGGTGCAGTATATTTCCTTTTTTAAAAAGCTTACTTGAATGGCAGATTATGAGGAAGGCATAGATCTTCCATGGCTGGTTCACTCCTCAAGTGTGCACAACAGCCAGGGCTGGACCAGACCACAGACAGGAGCCTGGAACTCCATCTGGGTCTCCCACATGAATGTAGGGCTCCAAAAACTTGGGCCATATTCTGATGTTTTTCCAAGTGCATTAGCAGGGGCCCTATTGGAAGTGGAACAGCTGGGACTCAAACAAGTGCCCATATAGGTTGCCAGTGTTGGAGGTGGCAGGTTATCCCACTGCATCGACTCGGAAGTGTGTGTCTTGAGGCAGCATATAGATGGATCTTGTTTCTTTATCCATTCAGACAGTCTATATCTTTTAACTGGAGAACTTAGTTCACTTAGATTCAATCATTATTTAGATAAATAAGGATTTGGTTCTGTAAGTTTTGCATCAATATTGCTATTGCTTTGGATTTCCTTTTTTCTTTTATTGGGAGGTTTTTTTTGCCTTGTTCTTTCATGATGCTGAATGACTTTGTTTCTGAGTGTATCCTTAAATATCCCTTGTAAAGCTGGCCAGGTGGTGACAAATTAAGTCTTTATTTGCCCTTCACTTATGAGAGCTTTGCTGGGTAAAGTATTCTGGGTTGGAAGGATTTTGCTTTTAGGATATGGATTATATCTCTTCATTCTCTTCTGGCCTGTAGGGTTTTTGTTGAAATCGGCTGCTAATTTGATGGGAGTTCCTTTAAATGTGATCTGGCATTTTTCTTTCATATTTTAGGATTTTTTGTGTGTGTTTTACTTTCAAAAGTTCAATTATAATGTGTCCTGGTGAGGATCTTTACTAACAATGCCTATTTGAGGCTCTATAAACTTCCTGTATTTGTATGTCTATATCGTTCTTATAATTGGGTAATTTTCATGATCCTATTTCCTGAATAAGTTTCCTAAGCTAATGGGTTTTTTCCCATACCTTCAGGAACTCCTAATACTTGTATATTTGGTCATTTGATGGTATCCCATAGACCCTGAATGCTGTTTTCAGTCTTTTAAATTTTTTTTTTGTCTGACAGATATTTCAAAAGACCAGTCTTCTCTAGATCAGATATTCTTTCTAGTGCCTTGCAAAGTCAGTTGTCAAAACTTTGCACTATAGTTTTTGACTTGTTGAATAGTTCATTTTGAATAGTTCATTTTAACTATATCTGATTTTCTTAAGTATTGTTCTTTGCAGAGTTTCTTATCCACATCGTGTATGGGTTTTCTTATTTCCTGTGTTTCTCTGTTTTCTCTGTGTTTCTCTGTGTTCTTATTCTTTTGAATTCCTTTAAAGCATTTTGCCAATCTTCCCTTTTAACAGTCCAATATTGTGTATTACTGTGTTCCTTTGGGGGTGTCATGTTGCTTTCTTTGTTCATGTTTATTGTGTTTGAGTTTTACACATCTGGGAGATTACTTGCTATTATCTCTCCTGGGAGATATTTTTAAAATTTTATTTATTCGTGGAATTTATTTATTCTTGGAAACGTGCCTCTCTGGATCAGTGGAGTGCCTGAGACTTGCACTGGAGTTCCAGGGGTATGTGCTGGGTGGGGCCAGGGAGCTTTGGCCACTGTCTGTGGGTGGGGCAGGGTCCAGGGTGACTCCAAGCTGGACATTGTAGAATACCTCTGGCTGCAGGAAGTAGGGGGAGGGGATGTTGGAGCTGGCTAGTATGTTCACAACCCCAGTCCTTCTTATGCCAAAGGGAACCAACTGATTCATGGCCCAGGGTGAGCTCTTGGTACCGGCACAACCCACCTACCCAGATGAGCACACACAGAGAACATGGACCTACTCTGTAGTGTGTCCCCAGGCCTGCTGTGGGATCTGTCCCCAGCCCACAGGGAACCCTGAGTTTCCACAGTCGGACCATGTGGCTGCACAGGAATCCAGCCACAACCCATGTCTCTGTTCTGTGGCCTACGCCCAGAACTCTCAAAGTCACAGGGTGCGGGGTGTCTGCTGTCTGCCCTGCACTGCCCTGTCCCTGGAGTGAGCTGCCTGCTGTGCCACGAGTCAGGATGGAGGTTGGCAACTCCACCCCAGCAAACTGAGTTTGGGGTTTTGGTGGCAGGAGGGGAGAAGAGCAGCATGGTCTCCCTTCATGGAGCAAAGGAGTTGCTCAGCTCCCCAAGCAGGACTAGAAACCAGTGAGGATGTGGAATTCTTCATTCAAAGCTGCCTCCTCTCACCTGGCCTGGGGAAGATTGCAAATTCCAGCTGGGGGCTAGCTGTGTGTATGCAGCAGTTGCAGTGTTCAACTGGCAGCTGCCTGTCTGTCCTCTCTCCTCACTGCTCCAGATTTCTATCCTGTCTCTTTTCCACCAAGAATTTCTCTTAATCAGTGTCCTGGGAACATGGTCCTTCATTTTTCTGGTATCTGAAGCTGAGATCAGTGTGGATTCTACCTATTTAACTATCTTGTATCTCCAAGTATTTGTTAAATCAATTTTATTTAACCTACTGTAGCCAAAATATCATTTTGCTATGCTGTCAATATAAAAATTGAGATAGTGTGAAGTTTCCTTTTTGGTCCCACGTCTTCAACAATTTGTGTAAGGTACCCTCAGCTCCACCTGCATTAGCCATGTTTAAGTCCTCGAATGTGTGTTTTCCTCTTTTCCTCTGAATTCCCATCAGTTTGTGGCTATTAGCTTTGCTTGCTCTTTTTTTATTTTTAAGATTTATTTATTTGAAAGGCTAAGTTACAGTGGTGGTGGGGGGTGGGGGAGGGGAGCTCTTCCATCCACTGGTTCTCTACCCAAATGGCCACAATGGCAGGAGCTGGGCTGATCTGAAGTCAGAAGCTTCTTCCAGGTCTCCCTCATGGGTGCAGGGGCCGAAGCTCTTGGGCCATCCTCTGCTGCTTTCTCAGGCCATAATCGGAGTTGGATCAGAACAGGAGCAGCCAGGATTCAAATGGTCACCCATATGGGATGCTGGCACTGCAGGCGGAGGCTTAACCTTCTATGCCACAGCTCCAGCCTCTCGCTGGCTCGCTCTTGCACTTTATTCCTCCTAACTCCTCCCCCCCACCCCTTTTTTTGTTGGCTACTTCTAACTGGCCTTGTACTTTGCCTTATTCTTGGACTTTCTTTTTGTTTGACAGGCAGAGAGAGAGAGAGACAGAGAAAGGTCTTCCTTTTTCCATTGGTTCACCCCCAAAATGGCTGCTAGGGCCAGCGCGCTGCACTGATCCGAAGCCAGGAGCTGGGTGCTTCCTCCTGGTCTCCCATGCAGGTGCAGGGCCCAAGTACTTGGGCCATCCTCCACTGCACTCCCGGGCCACAGCAGAGAGCTGGACTGGAAGAGGAGCAACTGGGACAGAATCCGGTGCCCCAACTGGGACTAGAACCCGGGGTACCGGCACCACAGGTGGAAGATTAGCCTATTGAGCCACAGTGCTGGCCTATTCTTGGACTTTCTATGAATTTTGATCTAAGCTATTGTTTAACAGCATTTGCCAGCCAAGAGCTGATATCCTGTAAGGAGTGTTATCTAACATAGACTTCTCTCTTCTCTGGCTCCACTTCTCTTTAAGAGCAGCTTGAAGGGGGCATCTGTCCTGGTGGCTAAGACACTCGCATCCCACACTGGAGTGCTTGGGTTCTATGCCTGACTCTGTTCCTGTTTCCGAGCTCCCGCTAATGCAGAGCCTGGAATACAGTAATGATAGCTCAGGTGGTTGGGTTCCTGGCTCCCAGCTTTGCCCTCGACCTGGGGTAAGTATTGGGGAATGAACCAGTGAATGAGAGCTCTATTTCTGTTTTTTCTGACTTGCCTCATAAATTAATTTTGAAGTCTGTTGAAATGGAGGTGGATTATTCTGTTTTGTATATTGGGAACATTGAATTTTACTGTGAATTTTAGAAATAACAAATTTCAGAGATTGAATATTGTGTTTGGTATATTTGCAAGTAAAATACTTGTTGCAGATGGTAACTCCATAAAAATGAAATGCTCTTTAAAAAACTGGCTTGTGGGGCCGGCACTGTGGTATAGCAGTTAAGGCTGCTGCCTGCAGTGCCAGCATCCCATATGGGTGCCAGTTCGAGACCCAGCTGCTCTACTTCTGATCAGCTCTCTGCTATGGCCTGGGAAAGTAGTAGAAGATGGCCCAAGGCCTTGGGCCCCTGCACCCATATGGGAGATGTGGAAGAAACTCCTGACTTCAGATTGGCACAGCTCCAGCCATTGCGGCCATCTGGGGAGTGAACCATCAGATGGGAGACTCTCCCTCTCTTTCTCTGCCTCTCTTCTCTCTGTGTGTAACTGAATTTCAAGTAAAATAAATAAACTGGCTTGTGGAAGACCTCCATTTCCTTGCTGCGGAGCTAAACTGGTTCATGCTTTCACAAGATCAGCCACACAACCATGTTACATGTATGTGTATGAATACATGCACACTTAATAAAAATCAAAGTTAATGATTACTTTTCATCCTATTGTTATAGAAAAATATGAATAGTTAACAGATAACCCAGGGATTGTTGTTGAGGCATAGTGGGTTAAGTTGCTGCCTGTAATGCTGGCATCCCATATGAGTGCCAGTTCAAGTCCCAGCTGTTCCACTTCCAATCCAGCTCCCTGCTAAAGGCCTGGGAAAGCAGTGGGAAATAGTCATGGTGTTTGGGATCCGGCCACCCATGTGGGAGACCTGGAAGCTCTGCTTTGGCCTGGCCCAGCCTTGGCCATTTCAGCCATATGGAGAATGAACCAGCAAATGGAAAATTTGTGTGTGTGTGTCTGTCTGTCTCCCTCTCTGTAAATCAGAAATATCACACTGCCATTATTTAAAATGATGGTATCTTAAAACAACCTCTTTGTATATTGACGGGCCTCATTATATTTTTTGTTAGAAACTGAGAGGATGAATATGTTCGTCATTTGCCTGAAGCAGCCTGTTGTTATCAGCAAGAAGGAGGTGATGAGAATAGAAATCCACTTTGACTTAGAGCTCACCGTATCACAAGCTGCCATTCAAGCCTTAGGAGAAGACAAACAGGTAGCAGATTTAATTCTTATTGGTTATTTGAAAATGCGTTCATGTCTCTTACATTTCCTTGTTGACTTTTGATCGATGTGAATGTTGGCTCTCAAAATCCTTGTTCTTCTGAGTGCCCTGTGAAGAGTTGAGTGTTCTGAGTTCTGATCCCACTTCTTCCCTTTCCTGTGTCATTCTTACCTGTGTAGCACTCAGGCCCTCCTAATGGGCCTCAAAGTGCTAATTCCCTTTTCTGTGCACTGTGGGAAGCTTTTCTGGGGTAACATCACCTCTCCACCACTTCCTGGGTTCCCAAGGACATTCATTATGGTTCTCTTGGCACTTCTCTCTCTGCTCCTCCTGTTCTCGGGGTGAATTATTAGGAATAGGATTTCTTTATTTTTTAAAAAGATTTATTTATTTGAAATTCAGAGTTACAGAGAGAAATCTTCTATCTGCTTATTCACTCCCCAAATGGCCAGAGCGTGTCCAGTCTGGAACCAGGAGTTTCTTCTGGGTTTCCTTCATGTGTGCAGGAGCCCAAGTCATTGGGCCATCTTCCACTGCTTTCCTAGATGCATCAGCAGGGAGCTGGATCAGAAGTAGAACAGCCAGGACTTAAATGGGTGCCCATATGGGATGCCAGGACCTTAGGCTGTGGATTAACCCTCTGTGCCACAGCACTGGCTCCAGGAATAGGATTTCTTGGAGATTTTCAAAGTTCTATCTATTGGTCTTGCCTTGAAGAAAGGTAGCTGGGGTTTCCATCTCTGTCTAGGTTTCCTATGTCTAAGAACAAGCCTTAATCTATCACAGATGACAGCAGTGCAAAGACATTTGTGATGGGAAGACCTGCGGTATGGTGGTAATGGCCAACTGGAGTTGAACAAAGAAGTCAGAGACCTGAGAGAGCAAGTCTTGGCCAATTTCCTTTTGTTTTGAATTGTATGTGAAGGCATTTTATACACAATAAAGGGTCCTTGAATATGTACTAAAGACTCACCTTGAATGAAGAGATCATTTCACAGGTGAGAATGAGAAATAAGTTACAGGAGAACCAATCACGTAAGCTCCTCCCCCGATCACACTGTGTGTGAATTGGACTGCCGGATACGTTTACCTTTTCTCTCAAACCATATCAGTGTCCATGTGTTTCCACACTTCACGAAATGAATAAAATGGTTTGGGAAGAGAATGGAAACTTGTGTGTGGTTAAGCCACAGTTCCTAGCACTGAAACTCCTCGAGAAAGAAATTGGAATCGAGGATCCTACAGCTGGGAGCTTGATACAGACTTGTCAGAAACAGACTCCGTTCCTGAGTGCAACAGGGATTAGAAATAACCAAGAGGGTTAGACGTGGGCCAGAGAAGAGACTGTGAAGATACGAGGGGAGAGAAGTTAAGAGCAGGTACCAGTCAGCCAGCACTGGACTTGGAGGGAGGGGGTATGGAAGAACCAAAACCAGTATAGTCCTACAAGAGAGGAGAAACTGAAGACCAGCCTCTTCTCATTCATCACTGTGCTGTGTTCTAAGCTTTAAACTTTCCTGGACGTTTTTAAAGGCTACTACTTTTAAAATTATGGCTTATTTGCTTTTATTAGAGACAAATCTTCCACCCACTGGTTCATTTCCCAGTGATGCCTGCAGTAGCCAAAGTTGGAGCAGGCTGAAGCCAGGAGCCCAGAGCTTGGTTCAGGTCCCCCATGTGGGTTGCAAGGACCCAAGCACTTGAGCCATTACTGCTGCCTCCCCAGGTGTGCATCAGCAGGAAGCTGGGTGGGAAGTGGAGCAGCCTGCACAGGTGACTGCTTTTAAAGGTCACGTGGCTTTGGGCTTATGTTTCAGGTGTTGCCAGACCAGATGAAAACCTCCCAGGAACTTCCTTCTAAATTTGAGAAAGATGACACTGGGGTTCTTAGTAGCCACGATGGAGAGGCAGGTATGTGGGGAAGTGACAAAACTCTGACTGAACAATGATGAAAGCTAGCTTGGAAGAAGTCACTGAACACCCAGCATCATATCAGTTTGAGCATGGTAGTGCCCCTGGAGAAGATCTGCTCAGAGCCTGGAATCATTTCCCCCACTTCAATACATATTTCCTCTGGGTCCATTGGAAATGATAAAGGAGAGCAAATGCTGAGGGTAGCAGGGAGCAGGAGGGTGGGGTTTGAGAGTCTTGTCTTCCCTCCAAGTCAGCCCTGGTCTAGATTGGACACATCTTTTCAGTTATGTTCCATGGTTGGTTTTTCAGATTTGCCATTTGAGGCAGGACCTAATTACCAGCTCTTACCAAAGATTGGTACAGTGCCCGAGGTGTGAAATCCGTGAAGGGCAATCCAGTATGCAGTGTAATGCATGCTTATGTTTTTAAAATTGTTTTTGTCCATGCTAATATTATGTGACATTCTTTTCTCTCTCTTGGTTTTAAAGATTTATTTGTAATTTTCAAGAGTTAGGGAGAGATTCCATCTGCTGGTTCACTACCCAGATGGCCACAATGGCCACCATTGGCCTACACTGAAGACAGGAGCTTCCCTTAGATCTCCCATGTGTGTGGCAAAGATCCAAGCACTGGGGACATTTCCCACTATATTTCCTAGGTCATCAGCAGGGAGCTGGATGGGAAGTGGAGTAGCCCATATGGAGTGCCAGCATTGCAGGTGGTGGCTTTACTTGCTATGCCACAATGCCAGTCCCATTCTTCTCTCTTTGTGCAGAGCAGGCAGAAGAATCCACCAACCAGGTGAAAGCCATGATTGCTGAAGATGACCGTTGCCTAATAACTCTCCCCATTAATGACAATTCCCAGCTGCCTGTGAGTATGGGGGTGTTGGGAGCCAGCTGGGATCTGGGTCTACAGGGATGGTGATAGGAGGAAGCTGCCTCTGCTTACAAGTAGGACATTTTTTTCTGGCCAAACTATGAATGTTTTGAGCCTCCCTTTCTGTAGATGAGTTTTGCCTACTGGGTTCTTGAGTGCTCTCCTTTCCTTCAATGTGGCTTTGCTACAAAATGCATGACTTGGTTGTCCTCTGCCTCATCCCTTCATTTGGGATCTGGACACTGAATGTCTGAAACTCACATAGAGAAGAGTATGAATGTGCTGTCAGGATTTTGTTGTCAACAAACACAGGATTTTCTTTCACATATATTTATTTTTAAGTATCTGGGAAACTGCTTCTACAGCAGTGCCAATGCTGTGAGATGTTTTGTCTCGCTTTTCTGAGAGCGGATATGAATTTTTTGAAATAGCCTACAGCCATTTGGAGCAGCAATTTCATTTATTTAAGATTTATTTATTTGAAGGCAGAGTTAGATCATGAATGAGAGAATGAGAATGTCTCTTCCAACTGGTGGTTCATTCCCAAATGGCTGCAATGGAGCCGGGCCAGGCTGAAGTCGGGAGCCTGGAACTCCATCTGGTCTCCCACATGGGTGGCAGGGCCTCAAGCACTTCCACTGTCTTTGGCTGTTTTCCCAGGAGCATCAGCAGGGAGCTGGATCAGAAATGGAGCAGCCAGGACTTGAACTGGCACTCACACTGTGGGGCTGGTGCAGCAGGTGGTGGCTTCCCAGCCATGTCACAATGCTGGCTGAAGCAAACTCAGTTATTAGTGAATGAAGAGCCTGGAGTCTTAGTATTCAATGGATTTGCTTCTCTTGTAGGATTTAAAGTAGTTCCAAATGACTGAACACATGGACTTCATAGGTACCATAATCCTCTTGTCTTTCTGCAGCCAACAGAAACTGCTGATCATTCACCTGAGAGAGTGCAGCTGGACAAGGCACAGGACGGTGAGATTTTCTTCTATCGTAGACTCGAGTGGTCTGCTTGTTCAGATGCCTACTTAGATGTTTACCATTTTTTGTCTTTAATTTTTGTCTCTAGAAGTTACTTCAGCGCATGAGTATTCTTCAGATTTGCAAGAATCGCCAGTTAATAATCAGACTCCTGAAGCAAGTGACAAAACGAGGTAAGTGGCGTTCAATGCTGATGAACCACAGGGAGCATAGCTGACACGAGCCTACAGGCCCTCAATGGAGGTTTTCTCCCACTCCTGCATGTTGTCACCCCCCACTTAAGGAGAGAGCACTGTGTTTTCTGAACACTTTCTAGGTTTATTTATTTGAAAGGCAGAGTGACAGGCAGAGATGTTTCATCCACTGGTTCACTCCCCAAATGGCCACGATAGCCAGGGTTGGGCCAGGCTGAAGTCAGGAGTCAGACACCATCTGGGTTTCCCACGTGGTTATCAGGGGCCCAAGCACGTGGACCATCTTCTGCTTTCCAAGGTGCATTATCAGGGTGCTGGATCAGAAGTGGAGCAGCCAGGACTCGAACCAGCATTCAGATATGGCATGCCGGCATTGCAAGTGATTGCTTAGCCCGCTGTGCCACAACACCGGCCCCTGGAGAGCACTTCGGAGTAGTGTGGGCGAGTTCTGCTGATCCATGGCCCCATAATCAATATATCCCAGGGTTACCTTTGGCAGTAAAATGCTGAATTTGAGATCAAAGGACACAAGATCAGTGTGAAAACCTCACTTTCCTTTCTGTATGCCAATAGCAATTTGATATTTAAATAAAATCTACACCATTTACAATAGTGTTAACAGCATAACAGCGTTCTTGGATTAATCTCATGGATTTGTTAGCCTACACAAACACATTGAAAGCCACAGCATTGCTGAGGGATGTTAAAATATAAACAGACAGCTGTGCTCTTGTGATACAAGACTTACAAGATTGGTTCAGGTTCCTCCAGAACTGACCTGTGGGTTCAGCATAACCCCTGACTCAAATCCTCAATTTTTTTTGTAAAGATTTATTTATTTGAAAGTCAGAGTCACACAGAGAAGAGAGAGAGAGAGGTCTTCCATCTGCCGGCCCACTCCCCAGTTGGCTACAATGGCCGGAGCTGTGCCAATCAGGAGCTTCCTCCAGGCTTCCCACATGGGTGCAGGGGCCCAAGGACCTGGCTATCTTCTGCTTTTCCAGGCCACAGCAGAGAGCTAGGTCAGAAGAGTAGCAGCTGGGATTAGAACCAGCACCCATATGGGATGCCGGTGCTTCAGGCCAGGGCGTTAACCTGCTGCACCACAGTCCGGCCCCCTCAAATGCTTTGTTTTTTTTAATGAAACTGATGGAGCAAGCATTGTGGCATTGGGGGTTAAGCTGCCGCCGCCTGTGATGCTGGCATCCCATAGGGGCACAGGTTTGAGTCCCCACAGCTCCACTAACTAACCAGCTCCCTGCTAACGGCTTGGGAAAGCAATGGAAGATGGCCCAAGTCCTTGGGCTCCTGTACCCACGTGTGAGACCTGGAAGAAGTTCCTGGCTCAGCCTTGACCATTGAAGCCATTTGGGGAGTGAACAAGTGGATGGAAGACCTCTCTCTGTTTCTTCCTCTTTCAATGTAACTCTGCCAGGTTTTCCAGATTTTTTTATTTGAAAGTCAAACTATTTCTAAACTTCTTGTGGAAAATTAAAGGACCTTTTAATAGTCAATTTTTAAAAAAGATTTAAGAGGCAGAGTTCTAGACAGAGGGAGAGACAGAGAGGTCTTCCATCAGCTGGTTCACCCCACAGATGGCCGCAGTAGTCAGAGCTGGGTGGATCCCAGGAGCCAGGAGCTTCTTCTGGATCTCCCACATGGGTGTAGGAGCCCAAGGACTTGGGCTATTGTCCACTGCTTTCTCGGCTTATTAGGGAGCTGGATCGGAAGTGGAACATCCAAGACTTGAACCGGCACCCGTATGGGATGCCAGCACTGCAGGCGGAGTCGGGGCCTACTATGCCACAGCGCCACCCCAAGTGCTAGGGGGCATTCTCCACTATTTTTCCTAGGTCATCAGCAGGGAGCTGGGTAGGAAGTGGAGTAGCCCATATGGAATGCCAGCATTGCAGGTGGTGGCTTTACCTGCTACGCCACAGTGCCAGTCCCATCCCTTTCTTACTGTGTGCAGAGCAGGCAGAAGAATCTACCAACCAGGACACCTGTGACCCACATCAGAGTGCCTCCACGTGATGTCCATCTGGGTCTGACTGCAGCTTCCTGCTAATGGAGGCTATGGTGCTACCTCAAGTCATTGGGTCCCTGCACCCACGTGGGAGCTGTTGCAGGCATTTAGGAAGTGAACCAGTGGATGGGAGTTCATTCCTCTACCTCTCAGGAAAAAAATTCTTTTAAGATCACTGTTAGGCCGGCGCCGTGGCTCACTAGGCTAATCTGCCTTGTGGCGCTGGCACACTGGGTTCTAGTCCTGGTCGGGGCGCCGGATTCTGTCCCGGCTGCCCCTCTTCCAGGCCAGCTCTCTGCTGTGGCCCGGGAGTGCAGTGGAGGATGGCCCAAGTGCTTGGGCCCTGCACCCCATGGGAGACCAGGATAAGTACCTGGCTCCTGCCATCGGATCAGCGCGGTGCGCCGGCCGCAACGCACCGGCCACAGCGGCCATTGGAGGGTGAACCAACGGCAAAGGAAGACCTTTCTCTCTGTCTCTCTCTCTCACTGTCCACTCTGCCTGTCAAAAAAAAATCACTGTTAGAGTGAAAAGATAGGCCTCACCTTTGCAGAAAACATTTGAAAAGCATATATTTGATAAAGGGCTTATATCTGAAATATATTAAGAACTCTCAAAAAAAAATTTTTTTTGACAGGCAGAGTGGACAGTGAGAGAGAGAGAGAGAAAGGTCTTCCTTTGCTGTTGGTTTACCCTCCAATGGCTGCCATGGCCGGCGCGCTGCGGCCAGCGCACCGCGCTGATCCAAAGGCAGGAGCCAGGTACTTATCCTGGTCTCCCATGGGGTGCAGGGCCCTTGGGCCATCCTCCACTGCACTCCCGGGCCACAGCAGAGAGCTGGCCTGGAAGAGGGGCAACCGGGACAGAATCCGGCGCCCCGACCAGTACTAGAACCTGGTGTGCCGGCGCCGCTAGGCGGAGGATTAGCCTAGTGAGCCGCGGCGCCAGCGAGTGAACTCTCAACATTTGATAAAGGTAAAACCAAAGGAAAGTATTAGCAAAATATTTAGAGTTCCTTCACAAAGGAAGATACAGAGGGCAGATAAACATATGAAAAATTACTTAATATCATTAGTTATCCAGGAAATTTAAATAAAAACTGTAATTAGATGCACTAAACATGTTAGAATGGCTACAATTAGGTTGTGCCACCTACTGGTGAGAAATATAGAGCAACTGGAACTTAGATATTTCTAGTAGTTTCTTAAAATGTTAAATATATACCACCCCCCTGACCTACTAAGCTATTCTATATTTCCCAAGAGAAATGTCAGTGTATGTCCACACATTGGAATGCACATGAATGTTTATAGCAACTTTATTTGTAGCAGTGCCAAACTGGAACCAACCCAAATATCCACCAATAGATGAGTGGTAATCACAGTTTGGAAATCCATACACTGGAATACGACATAGAAATAAGAATGTTTGATACGTGTCATGTGAATGAATCTCGGAATGATCACGCCCAGTAAAAGAAGCTTGACCAGAAGAGTACATATTAAATAGTTCTATTACGTAAAACTCTGGAAAATGCAGACTAACCTATAGAGACAGAAATTAGATCAATGGTTGCCTGTTTTTATTGTAAGAACACAATGTGAGATCTACCTTCTTAGCATGTTTTTGAAGTTGAAAATATGGTATTTTTAAAAAATTTATTTGAAAGTCAGAGTTGGAGAAGGAGAGGCAGAGAGAGAAATCTTCCATCTGCTGATTCTGTCCTCAATTGGCCAAAACAGCTGGAGCTGCGCCGATCTGGGGCCAGGAGCTTCCTCCGGGCCTCTCACACAGGTGCAGGGTCCTAAGGACTTGGGCAATCTTCTACTGCTTTCCCAGGCCGTAGCAGAGAGCTGGATGGAAAGTGGAGCAGCCGGGACTTGAACTAGTACCCATATGGGATGCTGGCATTGCAGGCAGTGGCTTTACCCACTACACCACAGCACTGACCCTGGAAAATACGGTGTAAAGAGAGGGGGAGAGACAGATCTTCCACTGATGGGTTCACTCCCCAGATGGCTGCAATAGCCAGGGCTGAACCTGGCTGAAGCCAGGAGCCAGAATCTTCATCCAGCTCTCCCATGTGGGTGGCAGGAGCCCAAACACTTGGGCTGTCTTCTGCTTTCCCAGCTAATTAGCATGGATCTGGATCAGAAGTGAAGCAGCCAGAACATGAACGTATTTGAAATGCTGACGTCACAGGAGGTGGCTTTACCTGCTACACCACAATGCTGGTCCCTGCTGTTGTTAATTATAAGCCCGAGCATATGACTTGAACTTGGTCTTATGTAACTGACATTTTATTCCCTTTGAATAGCAATTCCTCAATTTCTCTTCTCAGTATTTGGTAGCCTGTTTCTATGAGTCTATTTCGGATGCCTCATATAAGTGGAATCATGTAGCACTTGTATTTCTGTGCCTGGTGTATCTCAACACAGTGACCTTCAAGTTCATCCAGGGTGTTGTGTAGGGCTGGATTTCCTCCCTCTTCTAGCTGTGTAGTATTCTGTTATGTATAAATACCTCATTTTCCTTGACCGTTCAAGTGCTAATAGGCACTTAGGTTGATTTTGTATCTCAACTGTTGTGAATGCTGCTGCAATGAATGTGGGAGTACAGACATCTCTTCCATATACAGATGTCAGTTCTTTTTATTTTTATTTACTTGAAAGACAGGGTTACAGAGAGGTAGAGTAAGCAAGGTCTTCTCCTTCTGCTGATTCACTCCCCAGATAGGTGCAACAGCCGGAGTTGAGCTGATCTGAAGCCAGGAGTTTCTTCTGGGTCTCTCATGTGGGTTCAGGGGCCCAAGGACTTGGGTCATTCTCTGCTGCTTTCCCAGGTGCTAGTGCAAGTTCAGGGAGATGGATTGGAGGTGGAGCAGCTCGAACTCAAACTGGCGCCCCATCCCATAGGATGCTGGCACTGCAGGCTGGGGATTTAACTCGCTGAGCCACAGTGCCAGCCCTTGATGTCAATTCTTTTGAATATATATGCCAATAGTAGGATTATTGGTACATGAATTCTATTTTTAATTTTTTAAAGAACCATAAACCTATTTTCCATAGCAGCTGTACTATCTTACATTCCCACCAACCTGTATGAAGTTTCCAATTGCTTTATCTCCTTGCCAATACTTACCCTTTGTTGTTTTTATTTTGATAACATCAGACCGTATGTCTGATAGGATAATAATCCAAAACATATAAGTACAGCTCAATAGCAAGGAACCAAACAATCCTAATAAGAAATGGGCAAAGAACTTGAAAAGATAGTTTTCCAAAATAGATGTACAAATGGCCAACAGGGGCTGGCGCCGTGGCTCACTAGGCTAATCCTCCACCTAGCGGCGCCGGCACACCAGGTTCTAGTCCCAGTCGGGGCGCTGGATTCTGTCCCGGTTGCCCCTCTTCCAGTCCAGCTCTCTGCTATGGCCCGGGAGTGCAGTGGAGGATGGCCCAAGTGCTTGGGCCCTGCACCCCATGGGAGACTAGGAGAAGCACCTGGCTCCTGCCATCGGATCAGCGCGGTGCGCCGGCCGCAGCGCACCGGCCATGGCGGCCATTGGAGGGTGAACCAACGGCAAAGGAAGACCTTTCTGCCTGTCTCTCTCTCACTGTCCACTCTGCCTGTCAAAAAAACGAAAAACAAAACAAAACAAATGGCCAACAGGTATGTGGAAAGGTGGTCGATGTCACTGTTGAGGAAAAGCTTTTGTGGAAAGCCCATCCCCCACCCACCAGGGTGGTTGCAAGTAGAAGCGGCATGAACCGCACGGTGCTTGGGCATTGCTGCCACTGCCTTTCCCTGCTTTCTGAGCCTGGCAGACAGGGGCTTCACAAGGATTTGTTTTTGCAAACTGTTACTGCCGGCCAGAGAAGCTATGGACCTAGATTGCATGATAGGTTTGCAGAATGGGTACGTCCTGGTCACTGGTTCATGACTGGGCAAAGCACACATGAAGGAAGCCCAAGTTGGGGCTGTGAAGCAGAGAAGGAGGCGGCTCATGGTTGTACCAGTCCCACTCACTAGGCGTGTTTCATTTTAGGGATGATTCTGCTTTCAAGGGTGACAGAAAGCAAGCAAGAAGAATGTCGGTAATGAAATAACTTCTATTCTAAGACAATATATCACAAATTTCAATTACTTGTATACCATCTTCAGAATGTGCTATGGCTCGGTTGTTATCTGTGTTTTTCCTTGAGTTTTTTAAGATTTATTTGAGAGGCAGAGTTATAGACAGAGGTCTTCCACCCACTGGTTCATACCCCAAATGTCTGCAATGGACGGAGCTGAGCTGATCTGAAACTAGGATTCAGGAGCTTCTTCCAGGTCTCCCAGGTGGGTGCAGAGGCCCAAGCACTTGGGGCATCTTCTACTGCTTTCCCAGGGCATTAGCAGGGAGCTGGAATCAAAGTGGAGCAGCCAAGATTCAAACAGGTGCTACAGGTAGAGGCTTAACCTACTATGCCACAGCGCCAGCCCCTTGAGTTTTTCTTAAACTCCTTTTAACCTTTTAAAATAAATGAACAAAACCTTTTATTTTACTTTGAACTGGATAACCAGCATTACTTGTTACAAATAGTAGCTAGGCCTCCAAATAATAGGTAAAAATAACCAGTGTTAGCCTATTGAACTACACTGTCTATTGACTTGTTTTTTATTCATTATATAAAATGACCTTATTAGCTGAACTATGAAAAGGTAAATCTGCCACCCTCGGGCTCTCTGGTTAGATGGACAGATTGATGAGCCCAGTCAGTAGTCTCAGCAGGAGTTTAGTGTTTCATGTGTGTTCTTATTTGATGGCAAATAGGTCATGGGGGATTGAGAGTCCTTTAGTTAGTCCTGTGCAACTGTAGCAAGCATTCATTCAGCTTCGTAGAGTTTGCTCACCGGAGGAAAGATGATGGGTAGTAGACACAGTGGTCCCATCTTACTCATGAGGGCTGTGTTCCAAGACCCCTAACAGAAGCCTGAAATGACAGGTAGTCCAGAACCCCTGTATGTTGTCTTTTCCTAATCATACATACCCATGAGAAAATTTGACTTAGAAATTAGACATAGAGATTAGCAATGATAGCTAGTGGGAGTGATAAGTTTTGTTGAATGTGATCTTTCTCAATGTCTTTCTATTCTGTATTCACTCTTCCTTGATGACATAACACGATGTCTACCTGATGTGAAGGGAATGACATACTCAGAATGGCCCACAGTTTAAAACCCAGGATTATTTCTGGGATTTTTCCTTTTAGTATTATCCTGACCATGGTTCACCATTGATAATCAGACCAAAGAAATCAAAACCACAATTAGGGATAATACTGCTCTCTCACTCATAAGTGAAGTCTTGGGTGAGACTGGGCACTGCTCATGGTAACTGGCACTTACAGCCAGCTACAGCAATTTATTATTTTTAAAAAAATATTTATCTACTTGGGAGTCAAAGTTAGACAGAGAAGGAGATAGGGAGAGAGAGAAGCCTTCCATCCACTGGTTTACTCCCCAATTGGCTGCAAAGGCTGGAGTTGCACCAATCCGAAGCCAGGAGTTTCTTATAGGTCTCCCACGCAGGTGCAGGGGCCCAAGGTCTTGGGCTATCTTCTGCTTTCCCAGGCCACAGCAGAGAGCTGGATTGGAAGTGGAACAGCCGGGACTAGAACTGGTGTCCATATAGAATGCCAGCAGCTTTACCTGCTATGCCACAGTGCCGGTCCCTACAGCAATTTTTTTACATCAAGAAATGTAGAGTTGGTAATGTCTCTTTCCCATTGTGTCCCATTGTCCTGTATATAGGATACCTATAAAGACTTAAATTGAACAATAAATATATCACTCATGGTAACTTTGACATAAATATTGCGTCATCGAATATTTGCAGAATTGAAAATTTAGTCGGTTAAAACACTCCCCTTTAAAAAAAAAAAAACAAACCTATATTAAGCTTTGTGCCTAAAGCTTGCTTTAACTTTGTTAGACTGGTAAGTAGAAGAAAAATGTTAGACTTATTAGCACTTAGACATCTGAATAGATGAATCCTGTTTAAGAATTGAAGAGTGGCCCTTGACCTAGTGTTAAGACCAGTGTCCAGATGTCAATATCCCATATCGGAGCCCGGCTCCAGATTCAAGCTTTGTGCCAGTGTAGACCCTGGTAGGCTGTGGTGACAGCTGAAGTAGTTGGGTCTCTGCCCCTAAGAGGTAGTCTTGGATTGAATTCCTGACTCCTGGTTTTGAGCCTAGCCTGGCCCTGGTTGCTGTGGGCTTTCTAAACAGCAGATGGGAACTCTTCCTTCTTTCTGCTTGCCTGCCTCTCTGTCTTTTTTTGCTTCTCAAATTGAAAAGAAACATTGTACTCTGAGCCCGTATTGTTTAGGGCCATAGCTCTGTGCCCATGTACACCAAATGACACTTGTCCTGTGTGTGACCACTGGTGACCTCTTTGGGAAGCACAATGCTCTGTAGTCAGTTTATTTTTAAAAGAATCTCTGAATATTCAATGAATTTTCCTAAGCTGAGTTTGTGGGTTTCAAACAAACATGGTAAGGCTTTCTCCAGCTTTCTCTTAGCTGTGCCTTTTACCTTCTGCCCAGGCCTCAGGTTGTCCTCCCCTGGGGAGTTGGAGAAGCTCTGAAAGTCTGGTGCTCCTTCTCTGAAGGGAGGAAGGAACCTCCACTGTGATACGGCCTTGACTAAACAAGTTCAGTGTTGGTGGACTCAAGAGGCTTCCATAGCCTCGACAGCTCATGGCAAGAGCCTCGGGTGATTACTGACGTCATAAACAAGAGTGCCAATTGTTAAATCAACAACAGGAGTCACGGGGCACATGCTCCCCACATAGGATCTCTGTCCTTAATGTGTTTTACTATGAGAGTTAAAAACAACCCTACTATACCCTATACCTTGAGCGGTTGTGTGAGAGCAGCCTGTTGAAATCCTTGCTTAGTGTATACTAAGTTGATCTTCTGTATATGAAGGTAATTGAAAATGAAACTTGATGAAGGGTGGGATGGGAGAGGGAGTGGGAGAGGAGAGGGCCGCAGGAGGGAGGGAGGCTGGGAGGGGCCACAACAATACAAAAGTTGCACTTTGTAAATTCACATCTATTAAATAAAAATTATTTGCAGCAACTTTGATACACATTGAAAAAAAAGCCTGCTGTCTTCAGCGACTTTTAAAGATTTGTTTTAAAAACAGAATGATGGTGTGCGTGTGTGTATAGAGAGATTGAGAGAGAGAGATTGAGAGAGAGATCTATCTGCTGGTTTCATGCCCCAAATGCCTGTAACAGCCATGTATAGGCCAGGCTGAAGCCAAGAGCTAGGAATGCCATCCTGGTTCCCTACCAGGTGGTAAGGACCCAAGTACTTGGCTCATCTTTGCTGCCTTTCTAAGCACATGGACAGGAAACTGGGTTTGAAATGGAAAAACCAGGACTTGAACCAGCCCTCTGATATGGGACACTGGCACTGGAAGCGGTGGCTTAACCTGCTGCACCACAATGCCAGCCCTCAGATTCTTAACTTCATTGGTCTGCAGCAATGTCCAGGAATTTGGATTTCTTTCAAATCCCCCTCCTGGTGATCCTGTTGTGTGGCCAAATTTACAAACCATTGCTCTAGATACTTGTGTTGTAAACAACCTTCAACAATTTTTGATGTAAAACCATAGAAATTGAGAGCCCTGTTGCATGAGGGTTTTTTGTTTTAAAGATTTGTTTGGAAAGCAGGATGACAGACATATATACAAACAGAGAAATCCTCCATCCACCAGTTCACTCCCTAAATGCTCACAACAGCTGGGGCTGGAATAGGCCAAAGCCAGAAGCTAGGAACTTCATCCAGGTCTCCTGTATGGACAGCAGGGACCCAAGGACATGGCCCGTCTGCTGCCTTCCCAGGCACATTAGCAGAAGTTAGATCAGAAGTAGAGGGAGGGGGCTGATGCTGTGGTGTAGTGGGTAATGCTGCCGCCTGCAGTGCTGGCATCCCATATGGGCACTGGTTTGAGTCCTGGCTGTTCCACTTCCCATCCAGCTCTCTGCTATGGCCTGGGAAAGCAGTAGAAGATGGCCCAAGTCCTTGGGCCCCTGCACCCAAGTGGGAAACTGGGAAGAAGCTCCTGACGTCAGAATGGCACAGCTACAGACACTTGGAAAGTGAACCGGTGGATGGAAGATCTCCCTCTGCCTCTCCAACTCTGCCTTTCAAATAAAGTCTTTAAAAAAAAAAAGTAGTAGAGGAACCAGGACTGAAACCAGCACTTTGATAGGGAATGTAGATTTAACGGCTGTGTGGCAATGCCTTCCCTACTTCATGGTTTGTTAATTGCAAGCATTTAGTGAACTGAAGTTTGCGGTTTACTAGACACTGGGCTGAAGAACTCTGGAGCAAATGAGCAAGTTCCCCCAAGCTTTGTTTTACTCGCTCTTCTCTCTCTCCTCCCTCCTTCCCTCCCTTAAGAGTAAGATGCAAATAGACCTGGCTCCCCAAGTTCCTTTTAGAACTTAACTTCTCTAATTAACCTAAGCATTCATCACTGGAAATGTAGTACAGATATGCGACAGAATACTGTCCGTTCTTCAAAAGGAAGAAAATCCCGATACTGTGACAACGTGGGCAAACCTGGAGACCATGATATTAAGTGAAATAAACCAGGCTCACGAAGACAAATGCTACATGCTATCATTTATATGTGGAATCTAAAGAAGTTACATTCCTCAAAGCAGAGAGTAAATTTGTGGTGGGGGTGGAGGACAGGCAGTGGGAGACTGGGAAGACGTTCATCAAAGGATATGAAGTTTCTGTTAAGAGGAATAAATTCAAAGATTGCTGTGTATCACATTGACTATAGTTACCAACAGTATTTTGCATACTTGAAAATTGCTGAGAAAGTAGATTTTAGGGTAGTCTCATGACAGAATATCATAAATATCTATAGTAAAAATGTTAATTAGCTTGATTTAGGCATTCCACAGTATGTATCAAAACATCATGCTGTATCATAAAGAAACTTTCGTCAGAGAAATTCTTTTCTGTGAAATACTGAACTGCTAAACATTTTAAAGGAGGAGTTGTTAGGTTTCCCGAAAAAGGATTCATTTGAAAGTCAGATAATTGTCCATCATTCACCTTAAATGGTGTGGGTCATACTGTCAGGAACAAGGATGGTATTGGTCCAGTCCTAACCTAGTGACGGCCTCGGGAGCTGATTCTGCATGTTTTCATTTCACGACAGATGCACTTCCTGAGATGACTAGGTGAGATTCAGAGGATTCCATCTTGGCTGGGAATGAGTTGGAAATGAGTTGTTACCAGTTGAGTGGTGGAGGTCCTAGAAAGACATGATGGCTTGAGGCTGGACCCTTTGACAGGGCTAGATGGAGCTCAGATGGAGTGGACTTTTTGTCAGGATCAAAACAAATTCTATTTGAAAACAAAGCAATCATTTGTTACAGCATTTACAAAAAGTAATGCAAAAATATAAAAGACTTATAAATATCAAAGTACAGTTGACTAACCCACTAGACAGCCTAAATTTGTGCCAGATCTCTAATATTTTGACAGTCCAGTCTTAATTTCAAAACACTTCTATTTAGTTCTTTACTGTCTTGTAATTTTCATCATATGGATCTTTGACATCTAGGATGAATTTATTCCAAGTATTTAATTTCATTCAGAGCTATTGTGAATGAGATTGATCTTAGAAGTTCTTTCTCAGCCATGGCATTGTCTGTGTATACAAAGGCTGTTCATTCTTCTTTGTTGAATTTATATCTTGTCACTTTACCGAACTCTTCTGAGTTCCAATAGCCTGTCAGTGGAGTCATTTGGATCCCCTATGTATATAGAATCATGTCATTTGCAATCAGGGATAGTTTGATTTCTTCCTTTACAATTTGTATCCCTTTGGTTTCTTTTTTCTTGCCTGATGGCTCTGGCCATAATTTCCAGGACTATTTTAGGTAGCAATGTTGAGAGCAGGCATCCTTGTTTGGTTCCAGATCATAGGTGGAATGAATCCAGTTTCCCCCCATTCTCTACAGGCTGTTGGCCATGGTTTGTCATAGATTGCCTTGATCTGAGCAATAGTCCTCCTATGAAACATGAAAGGATGTTGCATTTTTATCAAGTGCTTTCTCTGCATCTATTAAGATAACCACATGGTTTTTGTTCTTCATTTTGTTAGTGTGATGTATAGCATTTATTAACTTGTAAATGGTGAACCATCCCTGCATAGCAGGTATAAATTCCACTTGGTCTGGGTAAATGATCTTTTTGGTATGTTGTTGGATTTGAATGGCTAGTATTTTGTCAAGGATTTTTGCATCTTTGTTTACCAGGGAAATTGATCTATAATTTCTTTCTTGTATCTTTTTCAGGTTTAGTTATTAAGGTGATGCAGACTCCATAGAGGGAGTTTGGGAGGATTTCCTCCCTTTCAATTGTTTTGAATAGCTTGAGGAGAATTGGAATGAGTTCTTCTTTAAATGTCTGGTAGAATTCAGCAGTGAAGCCATCCAGTCCTGGGCTTTTCTTTGTTGGGAGGGTCTTTATTACTGATTCAATTTCCTTCTTGGTTATTTAGGTTTTCTATGTCTTCATCACTCAATTTTGGTAGATTGTATGTGTCTAGGAATCTATCCATTTCTTCTAGGTTTCCCAGTTTGTTGGCATACAGCTGCTTGTAGTAATTCCTGATGATTCTTTTAATTTCCGTGGGGTCTATACTTATATTTCCTTTTTCATCTCTAATTTTGATTTGGGTCTTCTCCCTCTTTTTTTGGTTAGTTGGGCCAATGCTGTGTCAACTTTAAGAAAACTAGCCTTCATTTCACTGATCTTTTATACTGTGTTTTGGGTTTCAATTTTGTTTATTTTCTAATTTTAATTCTAATTTTGAGTTGGTTTTTATAGGTCCTTGAGATGCATTGAAAGCTCATTTGGTACCTTTCGAATTTCTTCATGTAGGCACCAATTGCTATAAACTTTCCTCCTAACACTGCTTCCACTGTATCCCGTAGGTTTTCATATGATATATTCATTTGTTTTCAGAAATTTTTTGACTTCTCTTGATTCCTTCAATGACAATGTTCATTCAGGAGCATGTTTTTCAGTCTCCATGTGTTTGCATATGATCTAAAGACTTTTGAGTTGTTGATTTCCAGCTTCATTCCATTGTGGTCAGAGAAGATGCATTGTATGATTTTGATTTTATTTTGAATTTGCTGAGACTCCTTTATGGCCTAGCATGTGGTCTATCATAGAGAGAGTTCCATGCTCTGATGAGAAGAAAGTGTATTTCCAACTGTGGGTTGAGAAGTTCTGTAGATGGTATGTATACACACTATGAAGTACTACTCAGCTGTTAAAAAAAAAAAAAAAACCTGTCTTTGCAACAAGATGGACACAACTGGAAATCACTACTTTTAATGAAATAACCCAGTCCCAAAAAGGCGTCATATGATTTCCCTAATGTAACTAATAAGAGTACCTAAAACGTAACGTATTGAAGTGAAATGGACATTTTGAAATTCGGTGATTGTTTATAGTTCTTGTCTCTTTTGGTGAGGAACTGTGTTTTTTTTCATACTATTTGTTGAACTCTTCTACTTAGTCTAGGGTTAACTATATGATCATTAAGTAGGCAGAAAATAGATCTTTGTAAAAAATTAAGAGTGGGAATGTGAGAGGGAGGAGAAAGAAGGTTTGGAGCATGAGAGGGAAGGTAGGGGGAGATGCATCACTATGTTCCTAAATCTGTATATGTAAAATACATGAAACTTGTATATTAAATAACCATTTACAGAAAATGGGAAAAACACTATTTTTTAAAAAAAATCTAAAGACTTATTTATTTGAAAGGCAGAGTTAGAGATAGGGGAAGAGACAGAAATTTTCTATCCACTGGTTCACTCCCCAAATGTTCACAATGGCTGGAACTGGGCCAGGCTAAGTTGAAGCCAGGAGCCAGAAACTCCATCTGGGTCTCCTGTGTGGGTGGCAGGAGCCCAAGCACTTGAGCCATCATCTACTGCTTTCCCAGACACATTAACAGAAACCTGGACCAGACGTTGAACAGCTGGGACTCAAACTGGCATTCATATGGGATGGCAGTATCACAAGTGGTGGCTTAGCCCTCTGTGCCACGACACCTGCCCCTACTTTCATGTTTAAACAGAAATAATCCCCCTGTTTGGTTTTTCTTGTAAGGTGTAGAGGGGATTTTCTTTGCTGTATGTATAAATACATACACACACACATTTATTTATTTGAAATGCAGGGTGACAGACATCTTCCATCTGCTCATTCACTCCCCATATTGCTGCAACAGCTGGCTAGGGCTTGTCCAGACCCAAAATCAGGAACCTGGAACTCCATGCAGGGCTCTCACATGGTGGCAGTGCCCGAGCACTTGGGCCATCCTTTGCTGCTAAAGTGCATTAGCAGGGCCTGCGTGGGATGCAGAGCACCTGGGACTTGCTGGCGCTCCAATATGGGCATTGCAAGCAGCAGCTTAAGTTGTGCCACAATACCAGACCCTAAAAAATGCTTTTATAGCTGCTTTTGTTATTTTTGTTAGAGTTGGCACAACCTTCAAGATACTAACATCGCAGTTGGAAATACCTGAGGGAATTTTGTCATTCTTTTCATAATGTCTGGGTTGAGAGTAATCTCATGGAATAATCTTTTCTTCTTCTCTTTGCTTCTGAATCATTTCATTGTGTGAGTCACTTCTCTTATGTCTAACTTGGCAGTAATAAACTTACTCTACATAAATGGCACCAACACCCTGTTAGCAGCTTTCATTTATCATTGCACTCGTGTCTTTGACAGTCCAGTTACAGGAAGCATCTCTTTTCTGAGAGTAATGAAGATTCAAGTAGTAGTGCCAGTGATCGATCTTGGACCAGTAACCAAAAGAAGAAGTCCCTGATACCGTATCCTAGCAGAAGACAAAAGACCAGAGTCAGAAGCAGTGGAAGAAGTAAGTTTAGTGTTTGTCGTCTGAGTCATTTCTCAAATCGGCCAGCAGGTGTTAGTTTTTCGGTATGTGCTATGAAAGGGCACCAAAGAAATACATAATCCTGGAACCTTTCCCTTTCTCTGTCTCACAATTAACTTGGAATGGCAAAATGAACATACATGAAGCAGAGAAGAATTTGGGATGGACCAGCAATTGGTAAGTGTGAGTTACAGATAAATGGAGGGGAATCTGGCACGAGCTGGAGTCAGCAGGAAATCTTTGACGAAGAGGGAGGTGAGACATGAGAAGGAATGGGATTTGAAGAGCAGAGAAGGTGGGGAAACAATCCTGTGAGACCTCAAGGCTCTGGGGGTGGTGTTCAGAGATAAAGCCTGGGGCAGAGTCCTGCAGGGTGGTGAGGAACGAGGCTGAACAACTTGGAAGGGATATGCAGGCAGCATTTGGGAAGGGGAAGATGTTCCAGGCATTGTCCTGCACACCTGGGAGAGGGAGAGTGGAATTTCTATGTGTCCTTTAAGGAAACATACTCATTTTCTTGCTTGCTTGCTTGCTTTCTAAGATTTACCTTATTTGAAGGCAAAGTTGGAGGAAGAGATAGTCTTCCATCTGCTGGTTCACTCCCAAATGGCTGGAATTGGGCCAGACAAAAGCCAGGAGCTTCTTCCAGGTCTCCCACGTGGGTGCAGGGGCCCAACCACTTGGGCCATCCTCCACTGCTTTCCCAGGCACATTAGCAGGGAGCTGGATCAGCAGTGGAGCAGCTGGGACTCGAACCATTGCCATATGGGATGATGACCTTGCAGGTGGTGGTTTCACCTTCTACAGCCCATACATTTTCTTTCTTTTCTAGTTTTGCCACTTTTCTCTCTTGGCAGTGCCAGCGATCGTGAGAAAAACCAGGTAAATGAATTTCCTCTGGGCTGCCATGCACTCTTTGGGGATAAACTGCACTCACTTCTCAGATTTTCGGGGATATGAGAAAAACAAACTGGTTTAATGGCATGTAAATGACTGCCATAGAACTGCAAGGACTAAGTGTCTAGCATGAATTGCTGATTTCTATAAATATTACTTTTCAAAACATTAAAGGGTCAGAAAAGTTTTTCTGTAAAGGGCTAAATAATAAAACATTTGTAAAACGTTTATTTTATTGGGGAAATGGAGTTGGTGGTGGGTGGGTGCAGAGAAGGAGATGGATAAAGAGACACTTTGTATCGGCTGGCTGATTTCTCACATGCCTGCAGCTGCAAGGGTTGGGCCAGGCTGAAGCCAGGAGCCTGGAACTCCATCCAGGACTCCCATGTGGGGAGCAGGGGCCCAAGCACTTGAGCTGACATCCTCTGCCTGCTGGGATGGGTTAGCAGGAAGCTAGGTGGGATGAGAGTAGAGGGCCTGGGGCTCCAGGCAGCACTTTGATATGGGATGCAGGCATCCCAAGAGGTAGCTTAACTTGCTGTACCACAATGCTCACCAGTTTGCTTGCATCCTTGTTTTACTTAAAAGGCAGAGAGAGAGGAGTAAATATTTTAGGCTTTGCAGGCCATGTTGTTTCTGTGTCAACAAATCATCTCCTCCTTTGTAACCCAAAAGCAATCATAGTGTGGAAATGAAAGGGTGTCCTGTGTTCCAATAACACTTCGTCAGCAAGAGCAGGCCGTGGGTTAGACCAAGTCCTGGTTCTCCAGCTTCAGTGGCCGTCAAGGTGACCAGGATGCTTTGTTGAAGCACAGATTGCCGAGTCCTGTACCCAGAGTTTCCGACTGAGTGGATCATAGAGAATTTGCGAATTTGCACTTCTATCAAGTTGCCAGGTGTTTCTGATGCTCTAGTTCCAGACCATATTTTGAGAACTGCTCATTTATAGTAGTCAATCAGAATAAGATCTAAATATTTAATTTCAAATGCTTAAGCATTGAATACTTAAACTGCTTAGACACTGAACATGTCTTGGAGTTTCTTTTTTTTTTTTTGATAACTTGTTTTGAATGGTTATGAATATTAACACTTAAAAAAGGTACTATATTTTTGGCTAAACGTCTGATTCCGTTACAGAAGGACACATCCAGTCAGAATGCCACACCAGCAGAAATTCCTGAAACAAAATTGCAGGGGAGTCCTGCCACCGTAATTCCTGAAGATTCTTCCCAGAGAACAGGTACATGATTTTCTGTTGATTTGTGTAGGAGATTATATATACACACACATACACACACACACACACACATATGTGTGAATATAGGTAAAAGTACTCTGTGGCAAACAAAAACATTTTTCTTTTAGTGTCTGTCAAGGAAAGTATAAATATGATTGTCTCTGCAAAAAGGATATGAAGGTTTATGGATCTTAATATATTTGAAATTTTAGAAGTCTTTAATGTGATACTAATACACATTAGCAGAACGTTAATACACATTAAGAGAACAGATTCCATGTACTTCATAGATACAGTTCTAAGAATGTAATGACTTTCCATGCCTAAAATACTCTCATGGGCTCTTCAGCCATATATGAATGCCTTAAGGGCTGATTCTGAGGCCAGAGTGCTGTTTAGGAATCTGCCATTCTATGAGTCTGCTTTGTATCCCACTTTTTTTTTTTTTTGACTTTTATTTAATGAATATAAATTTCCAAAGTACAGCTTATGGATTACAATGGCTTCCCCCCATAACGTCCCTCCAACCCACAACCCTCCCCTTATCCACTCCCTCTCCCCTTCCATTCACATCAAGATTCACTTTCGACTCTCCTTACATACAGAAGATCAGTTTAGCATACATCAAGCAAAGATTTCAACAGTTTGCTCCCACACAGAAACACAAAGTGAAAAATACTGTTTGAGTACTAGTCATAGCATTAAATCTCAATGTACAGCACACTAAGGACAAAGATCCTATATGAGGAGTAAGTGCACAGTGACTCCTGTTGTTGACTTAACAAATTGACACTCTTGTTTATGGCCTCAGTAATCACCCTAGGCTCTTGTCATGAGCTGCCAAGGCTATGGAAGCCCCCTGAGTTCACTGACTCTGATCATTTTTAGACAAGGCCATGGTCAAAGTGGAAGTTCTCTCCTCCCTTCAGAGAAAGGCACCTCCCTCTTTGATGACCCATTCCTTCCACTGGGATCTCACTCACGGAGATCTTTCATTTAGGTTTTTTTCCCCCCAGAGTGTCTTGGCTTTCCATGCCTGAAATACTCTCATGGGCATTTCAGCCGGATCCGCATGCCTTAAGAGCTGATTATGAGGCCAGAGTGCTGTTAGGACATTTGCCATTCTATGGGTCTGCTGTGTATCTCACTTCTGAAGAGCCCATGAGAGTATTTTAGGCATGGAAAGCCAAGACACTCTGGCAAAAAAAAAAAAAAAAAAAGGAAAGAAAGAAAAGAAAGAAACCTAAATGAAAGATCTCTGCGAGTGAGATCCCAGTGGAAAGAACAGGCCATCAAAGAAGGAGGTACCTTTCTCTGAAGGAAGGAGAGAACTTCCACTTTGACTATGACTGTGTCTAAATAAGATCAAAGTCGATGAACTCAAAAGGCTTCCATAGCCTTGGCAACTCATGACTAGAGCCTAGGGAGATTACTGACGCCATAAACAAGAGTGTCAAATTGTTAAGTCAATAACAGGAGTCACTGTGTACTTACTCCTCATGTAGGATCTCTGTCCTTAATGTGTTGTCCAATGTTAATTAATGCTATAACTAGTACTGAAACAGTATTTTACACTTTATGTTCTGTGTGGGTGCAAACTGATAAAATCTTTACCTAATATATACTAAATCGATCTTCTGTATATAAAGAGAATCGAAAATGAATCTTGATGTGAATGGCATGGGAGAGGGGGCGGGAGATGGGAGGGGTGTGGGTGGGAGGGAAGTTATGGGGGGGAAAAGCCATTGTAATCCATAAACTGTACTTTTGAAATTTATATTTACTAAATAAAAGTTAAAAAAAAAAAGAATGTAATGACACCTCCCTCCTTTCCTCCCTGCCTTTTTTTAATTTTTGACATACCATCTTCTTAAATTTGTATTATGGTCAAAGGCTTAATGCTCCACTAAAGAGTTCAACAAGTTAAAGTCAAAAGACTAGTTCAGTGGGAATTTGGGCAAGGGCTAGGGCGAGGAACAATAATCAAATGAAAAATGCCTACTTCATTCATATCCAGTGAATTTTTAAATAATCACAGGTCATTAAAACTGTAGTAGTATATCATTCTTAACCATTGTTTTGACAAAGGTATAGAGTTTGACCAAACTGTGTGGTAGAAATACAGAAAGTATTTGACAAAATTCGAAATCACTTTATAAAGAAACTCTGGACAAATTAGGTGTATACAGACCTGAACCTTAGCATGATAAAGGCTAACAGCTAACATCATGTCCACAGCTAACATCATAGTTAGTGGTGAGAAGTTGAAAGCTTTTCCTCTAAGATCAGAGTACTAGAAGTCTTAGCTAGAGCAATTAGGCAGGGGGGTAAACAGGCATCCAAATTGGAAAGGAGGAAGTTAAATTATCACTGTTTGCTGGTGAATTGATCTTTGTATGGGAAATGCCAAAGACTACAAAAAACCTGTTAGAACTAATAATTCAGTAAAGTTGCAGGACACAATCAAACTACAAAAATTTCATATTTTTATATACTAATAATGAACTATCTGGAAAAACAAATCAAGAAAATCCCATTCCATTTATAGTAGCATCCAAAAGAATGAAAAACTCAGCAATAAATTTAGGCAAGGGGTGAAAGATTTGTATATTGAAAACTGTAAGACATTAATGAAATAAGTTGAAGACACAAGTAAGCAGAAAGATCCCCCATGTCCATGGATTGGAATTATTAGATGTTGCTCAGATGGCCATATTACCCAAAGCAACTTACAGATTCAATGAAATGCATATCAAAATTTCAATGGCACTTTTCACAAAAAGAGAAGAAACAATCCTTCAGTTTGTGTAGGAACTCAAAATACCTCAATAGCCAAAACAGGCTTGACAGAGCAGAACAAAGCTGCTTGACTTTAAGCTATATTTACAAAACTCTAGAAATAGAAACAATATGATACCGGTATGAAAACAGACACAGAACTGATAGCACAGCTAAAGACTAGTTGCCTGTAATGTGTGTGGTTTTGCTTCTGAGCTAATAATGCACAATGAGTGAAGGAAAGTTTCTTTATGAAATGGCATTGGGAAAACTGGATGTCCGTGTGCAAAAGAATGAGACTGGACATTCTTACTCCATATGTAAAACCCAACTCAAAGTGGATAAAAAGACTGATTTGAAACCATAAAACTTCTAGTAAAAACATGGAAATAGGTTCTTTGATCTCGGTAGTTGTTTTGTATAAGACACCAAAAGCACAAGCAACAAAATAAACAGGTGGTACTACATCAAATTAAACAGTCTCCGCATAGCAAAGGAAACCAACAAGGTGAAAAGGCAACCTACAGGATGAGGAAAACGTTTTCAAGTCATGTATCTGATAACAGATAGTATCGAAAATACGTAAGAAACCCATACAACTCAATACAAACAACCAAGTAACCCAATTTAAAAAATAAAGGACCTGAATAGACATTATAACCAAAGGAAGCATACAAATGTCTTAGAGATCTGTAAAGAAGTACTCAGTCTCGGGGAAAGGCAAACCAGTACAATGAGCTGTTGTTTCACACCTGTGCAAGATGGCTGTTATTAAGACGAGGAAACAAGTACTGACAGATGTTTAAAAATGGAAATCTGGTGTGGTATACACTAGGTGGAAATATAAGTCAGTGTAGCCATTATAGGAAAAAGTATAGAGGGGTCTCAAAATTACAAATAGAACAATCTAGCAATCTCACTTCTGGGTTTAAATCCTAAAGAAATGGAATTGGTATTCCAAAGAGATACCCATACTCCCAAGTTCATTGCATCATTATTAGCAACAGCCAGGATATGAAAACACCTACATTTCCATCAATGGATGAAAAGATGAAGAAAATGTAGATTTTCTTCAATCACAAAAAGAAGGGAATACTGCCAGCTTTAACAAGAGGCATGAACCTGGGGGACATGATGCTAGGTGAAACTAGCCAGACACAGAAAGATAAGTGCTGTGTGATGTCACTTTCACATGGAATCTAAAAAGTCAAGCTTGCAAAAGCAGAGTTTAGTGGTGACTGGGTGCTAGGGAGCAGGAGAGATGAGGGAGTGTTGGGCAAATGGCACAAAGTCTCAGTTCTAAGTTGAACAAGTTGCGGGGGGTCTGATATGCAGCATGCATGGTGATCTCAGTATTAATCCGAGTGATAACCATGACACGATGTACATGTCTGAGCAGCACACACACAGGAGAGGGGTTCTAAGGCAGAGAAGAGCAGAATCGCAAGGTTGACCTGGGAGGATCCTTGCCCATGTTTTTCGGGGACAAATAGGTAACTCCTAATGTCCTTGATTTAGTTGAGGTAATTGGCTGTGCTATCTACAGATCTACAAACCTGATTAACATACATGTCTCGAAAAACACAAGGTTCTCATTTTTTAGTGCTGTGTCTGCTTTTAAATGATCAGATTTAATAGAGAGCAATAGTGAAACGTGATTGCCTCCAATAATTTCTTGGCGTGTTTATTCACTTGACACTGTTCTCTCTCTCACTAGAAAGTCGAAGTCCCCAGCTACCGAGTGGGTTCTCCTCTTTAGAAAGCTCAGAAACTGAAGACAAAACATCTAAGGTACTTTTTTTTCTTTTTTTTCAGTTTGTCTGAAAGGCAGAATGACAGAAAGCTTGATCGTGTTCATAGTAGAGATAGGCACAGAGCGGTCTTCTGTCTGCTGATTGACTCCCCCAATGCCTACAACATCCAGGGCTGGGCCAGCCCAGGCCAGAGCTAGGAGCCTAGAACTCCATCCTGGTCTCCAGCTTGGGTGGTAGGCACTTAAGTACTTCAGCTGTCATTTGCTGCCTACCAGGAAGCTGGATCGAACATGGAGTAGTCAGGACTCCAACCAGGCACTGCAATATATGGAATCGGGCGTCCCAAGAGGCGGCTTAACCCATTCTACCACTACGCCCACCCCTAAGGTACTATTTTAATTGTTAGCTAGTCACCTGGCTTCCCCCCCATTAATATTTATATAACATACATGCTTGTCATTTTTAAGGGAATAATATAAACCACTTATGTCTCAATTACATAACTATATACATGTATATGTGGTTTGTTTCTTTTGTTTTTTAAGATTGGGAACCAAGAATCAACAATGGAAAATACTAGCTTCAAACATAAGCTGCAAAACATGGAAGACAGAGGTAAGAGAAGGATAAACTCATTTTGCAGAAGGTAGTGAAAGTAATCAGACCGTGGCAGATAAAAGCACTGTGCAGAGTGACCATGGCCAGGCCACAGGCCGAGCAGTGAGTGGCTTTCCCAGCTCCAAACGTTCACAAAAGTCCAGGGAGCAACTGGGGCTCTGCTTGGGAGCCAGACTCGCTAGTGCCGAGGCAGGGACGGTCCAGGACCTGGATCCCATCAGCCGTCCTCCTGCCCAGCAGGAGAGAGAGGCCCGGGGAGGGCGCTTTGCTGGGGATGCCAGCGCCAGAGCTCATCTCATCCCCACATATGTAGGTCACTTGCAATTCATAAGTAATGTCCTAAGCAGTTATGTGGCCAGGTTATTAATCATTCTGAATTAATTTTCTCAGGGCAACAATGGTATGAAGGTTTCCAGGTGACTTCACAGTATTGCATCTGTATGATAATGTATTACTATGAAATATGAATATACAATGTGTTAATATATTAATGTAACAAATAGAACATTTTTTTAAAGATTTATTTATTTGAAAGGCAGAGTTAGGGAGAGACCGAGATCTTCCATCTGCAGGTTTACTCCCCAAATGGCTGCAATGGCCAGGGCTGGGCCAATCCGAAGCCAGGAACCTGGAATTCCATCTGAGTCTCTCACATGGGTGGCAGTGGCCCAAGCACCTGGACCACCTTCTGTTGCTTTCCTAGGTGCATTAGCAGGGGGCGAGATTGGAAATGGAGCAGCTGGGACTTGAACCCAGAGCTCTGGTGAGATGCTGGTGTCACAGGTGGTAGGTTAACCCGCTGTGCCGCAATGCCGGTTCCACACATAGCCACTCATTCTATTTCTTAGCTGCATCTCTTTTCCTTGATATTTTAAATTAAACATGAAAATGGTTCAAATGGCTATGACTTATATGCAGAATGTTTAGAATATCCACAGAAGTATCTATGAGCCACCCTCCAGTTTTAGAGAGAGAACACTGCTGTTGCTTTGAAAATTCGGCCTTGCTCCAACCTAAACCTCCCATCCCAGCACCTCAATTGGAGATACTAGCCTTAGATGCCACTGATTTTTCCCCCTACTTCTGCATTGTGAAAAATGTGATTCTTGTAGAAGTTGTACAATGTGTACATTTAACAAATGATTATAAAGTGAATGTGTGACCACTGCGCAGGCTGAGAGCTTTGAAAGCTTCCATTAGCTTTGATTCCTGACCTCCTAGGTCGCTCCCTGTAAACTCCCCGTTCCTTGCAGAGCTAAGGACTGTCCTGAGTTTCGTGGAAATCCTTTGTAGTTGTTACCTGTCATCGTGCTTCCTCTGTGTGATCCCAAATCCTGCATTTGAGATGCACTAAATACTGATGTGAAAAGTGAACAGATGGCTTTATACTGGGTGATGTGAAAAGTGAACAGATGGCTTTATACTGGGTGTTTTGTGTGCGGGTTCGTTCCTTTGCTCGACATTTACCAGAGCCCTTCGCATTGATGCCCCCGGGTGAAGTACGTTCCCCCCACCCCAAGGTCACCTCAGTTACGTGAAGATATAGCCCGAGGCAGCATTTCAGTGGGATATGGGGCATTTGTGATTTAGCAGGATCAGGTTTGTATAAATGACACTGGAAAGTGTAATGTGCCTTTCTTCTGATACAAACGCGTACAATTGCTAGGTTATAGAGTATGTTTATCTTTAGCACTCTTAGATGTTTCTGTTTTTCCTAAGTAGCTGTTTCAATTTCATTTCCTACCAGCTCTGTATGTGAGTTTTGTGGTTCCATATCCTTGTTATTATTTTAAATGTCTTTAAATCGTGTTAGATTTTAAACTATACATAAAATTATACATATTTATGAAGTATTGCATGACGTCCCAATGGTGTACATCATTTAATAAAGGATAAATAGAACTACTATCTCTTTCTGGTGAAAAGATGAAAGGTTCTCTTTGTTGGCCTTTATTCTATATGTGTATGTATATGTGTGTGTATTTTATAGAAGTAGGGGCGAAGGGACATTGCTTTATCTAGTCAGCCTACTGTGTGAGAGATCACCAAAACTCCTTTCTCCTAACTGCAACTTAGTACCAGCCAATCACCCTTTCCCCCACCCTCCCTCCCTGCTACTCTTCCCAGCCCTTAGTAACCAACATTCTACTCTCAAATTCCATGTGATCGTTGTTTTTAGACTCCACACATGATTGGCAATATACCGTACTTGTCTTTGCCTGGCTTAATACGCTTAATGCAATGACATCCATGTTACAGATGATGGGATTCGTCCCCCCCCCCCCTTTTTTTTTTTTGACAGGCAGAGTTAGACAGAGAGAAAGGTCTTCCTTCCATTGGCTCACCCCCCCCAAATGGCCACCACGGCCTGTGCACTGCGCCAATCTGAAGCCAGGAGCCAGGTGCCCCCTCCCGGTCTCCCATGAGGGTGCAGGGCCCCAGCACCTGGGCCATCCTCCACTGCCTTCTCGGGCCACAGCAGAGAGCTGGACTGGAAGAGGAGCAACCGGGACAGAACCGGTGCCCCAACCAGGACTAGAACCCCGTGTGCCGGCGCCACAGGTGGAGGATTAGCCTAGTGAGCCGTGGCGCCGGCCAGGATTTGTCCTTTTTAGGACTGAGTAGCATTCCATTGTGTCTATGCACTGCGTCTCCTTTATTCCTCTGTATATGGACACTTGGGTTGTTTTTGTTGCCTTGCTGTTGGAGATAGTGCTGTGGTGAATATGGGAGTGAAGCTGTCTGTTTGACAAACTGATTTCAGTTATTTTATGTATACCCAGGTCGTGTGGTAGCTGTTTTTATTTTTGAAGAACCTCCATACTGTTTTCCACTAATGGCTGTGCTAATTTAAATTCCCATTAATATTGCAGAGATTCCCCTTTCTCCACATCCTCACCAGTTCTTGCTCTCCTGTCTTTTTGATAAGAGCCATTCTAACTGGAATGAAGTGGTATCTCATCATGGTTTTAATTTGAATTTCCCTGATGATTAGTGGTATTGAGCGTGTTTTCCATTCTATGTATTGGCAATTTGCATGTCTTCCTTTGATAAATATCTAGTCAGATATCTTTCCTGGTTTTAATTATTTTTAAAGATTTATTTATTATTTGAAAGAGTTGGGGGGGGGAGTCAGAATGAAAGAGAATGAGAATATTGTTCATCTACTGGTTTACTCCTCGAAGGATCACAATGACCAGGGCTTGGGCCAGACCAAAGCAAGAGCTTCATCCAGGATTCCCAGGTAGGTACAGGGGCCAAAGCACTTGGGATATCTGCCACTGCTTTCCCAGGCCATTAGCAGGGAGATGGATTGGAAGTGGAGCAGCTGGGACTTGAACCAGGGCTCATGTGGAATGCTGGTGCCGCAGGCGGTGGCTTCACTCACTGCACAATTCTGGCCCAAATTGGGTGGTTTTTGTTATTTGGGTTCCTTGGGTATTCCGGATGTGAACCACTTGTCAGATACATAGCTTGCAAACATTTTCTTCCATTCCAGAGGCTGGCTCTTCACTCTGATTATTTACTCCATTATGCAGAAGCTTGTCAGTCTGATGAAATCCTATGTCTGTTTTTGCTTTTGTTGCCTGTGTTTTTGGGATTTTATTCATAAAATTCATTGGCATTGTATATTCCAGTGTCCTGAATTATTTCCTAACTTTTTTTCTAAGAGTATAGCAGCTCAATATCTTTAGGTTTTTAATCCATTTTGAGTTGGGTTTTGTATATAGTGAAAGATAGGGTCTAAGTTTTCTGCATGTCTCATGTTATGTGCTCCATTTATTGAAGAGACCATCTCCAAAAGTATGTTCTTAGCAGCCTTGTCAGTTTTCTCTAGCTAGTGCCTGAGTTTGAAGAACTCCTTTTAGCATACCCTGTACACAGATCTGGTGGTGATCGGTTCTCTCAGCTTTTGCTTTACTGGGCATGTGTTTTTCTGTCTGTCATGTGTGAAGGGTAGCTTTGCTGAGTACAGTACTCTTGTTTGGCAGTTTTTTCTCTAAGTACTGCAAAGGGCTTTCCCAGCCCCACCTGGCCTGAAAGATTTCTGTCAGGAACTCCACAGTTGGACAAATCTGGACACCCCTATGTGTTGTTTTCTCTTGCAGCTCTGAGAGCTTGAGTATATGTATCTTGTGGTATAATTGCTTCAATTGAATCTGACTGTGACCTTTGACCTTCCCATCCATGGATAGTTGTATCTTTGTCTGGGTTTGGGACATTTTTCTGTTATCTCTCTGAATGTGCTTTCTACTCCTTTGGACTTCTCAAGTCCCTCTTAAAGTTTCCAAAACTCAGATGCTTCTTATTTTAATGCTCTGCCAACATTCCCATAAGCTTCCTTCATTCCTACTCATTCTTTTTTCTTGTTTCTGTTCAGTGTATTTCAAATAGCCTGCCTTCATGCTCACTACTAATTTCCCACTTGACCTATTGATACCTTTTCTTGCCTTGTAAATTTGCTTAGTGTTGGTGTACTTTTATGCTCAAAAACTTCTAAATACTCTCCTTTGAGTATCTCTGTTAGGGTAATTTTTTTTTAATTTACTTATTTGAAAGGCAGAGTTACAGAGAAGCAGAGAGAAAGAGAGGTCTTCTATCTGCTGGTTCACTCCCCAGATGTCTGCAGCAGCCAGAGCTGTGTTGATCCAAAGTCTGGAGCTTCCTCTGGGTCTCCCACACAGGTGCAGGGGCCCAAGGACTTGGGACATCTTCTACACTTTCCCAGGCCATAGCAGAGAGCTGGATCTGAAGTGGAGCAGCTGGGACTTGAACCGGCACCCACATGGGATGCCAACACTGCAGGCAGCCGCTTTACCCACTACACCACAGCGCCAGCCCCTCCCTGTGTCTTCTGAGTTACTCAAATTTCCTTAAAACATGTTTAAAATTCTGTGTCTAAGAACTTTATCAGTCGATCTCTCCTTGGTTTCTGGTTCCTTATTTGTTCGTTGGGTGAAGTCCTGGTTCCCTGGGAGTTCTTGATGCTTGCTGGT